AAACCTCGGCACGTAGATCGGCAAACTGCTGCATCCAGTCCTGTCCAGTGCTCCTAGTGATCGGGTACAGGGCACGTACTACCTGGTAATAAGCCGGCTGATCTGGTGGCCTCACATTCTCTCGATGCACTGCAATATTTTATTTAAAGATATTAAAATTTATTAAAATATATTAAAATGAACAAAATAAGTTCCAAATATATTAAAATTTACCTGAAGAAGGGTGGTGCAACCCGCCAAGCCCCTCGACTGTGCTCGGCTGCATATACCCAACTCTCTGTATAGATTGGCCAAACAGGCCGAACCCCACGAATACGTGCCGACCTGATCAAGCACTGAATCCTCGAGCACGTGCATATACCACGGTTTCACCCGATCACATGTCTTGTCGGGGAATAAAATCGATCCGAGGAGAAACACCAGGTATATCTGAACTCGGCGTCTCATGGGCGTGTCGGGCATCAACAACTGTCCCTGTAACATCCTCCATGTGGGGCCCCCATGCTTCCACGACTCGTCAATCTCCTCAAACTCGAGGTTTAAGGCCTCGGACAGCAAATACACGCAGTTTGTCCGCTCGATGGCATCGTCGTACCTAGGCGCGACCACCCGTCCCTCCACATTGGCACCTAGAATCATCTGGACATCGTGGAGAGTGATAGTCATCTCTCCCCACGGCATATGGAAGCTGTTCGTCTCCGGCTGCCACCGCTCCACGAATGCAAACAACAGCGGAGTATCTATGCCCTGTAAATAATTAACATCGGGCTAGGGGATACAAACCGGTCATCCGCAGAAAATGCTTGTCTACGGATACATCTACGTCTTCTAAGGCATCTGCTATCTTCTCGTAGTTGAATTGGTTCAGGGAGTTGATACGCGACTCCACTCGTCCAACCCGACGTTCCTACAATCATTTATTTAGAAAACATATTAATTAATCAACTATAAAAATATTTTAATAGAAGATACAAAAATTATAATATTAAAATTAAAACAAGTAAGTAACTTACTTCTCCCCTCCAAATATATGCCGCTACGTGCGACTTGAAACTCGGTATTAAAGACGGATCCCGCGGGCCACCGGGAAATGGACCATCTAGCACATCCGGATTGACTCGAGTATGAGGTCGACCTCCACGGCCCCGTCCTCGGCCTCCACGACCTCTACGACCTCCACGAGCTACAACCTCAGTCTCGTGAACGGGGTCCACATCTGCCTCCTCCTCCATAGCACGAGAAGACCCAACATCGGGATGTGGAACTGATGATCTGGCTTCACCAGCTCTCTCAGCCTCTCGCCTACGTCGTGTAGACATAGTCATGCGCTCGCGCTCGCGCTCTTGATGTTCAGCCTCTTCACGAACTGCTCGCATAATTGCACTTGATTTCCCTTTGCCTGCCATCTGTTAAATAAAACACTATTAACATCAGTCTAAATAATAATAATAAATAAAATAAATCTTTGAAAAAAAAAGTTGGAATGACAGATCGGGACTCCCGTCAAT